ATGTTTGCGAAAACTTTTTGGCACAAGAGAATATTCACTGAACCCCAACGAAATTAAAAGTCTCTCATTATAAAGGACATGATAAGTGACAGTTATTTGGTTCGCAAAATGGAAAGTCATTTAAGTTAGAGACTTCCTGTGTTTCGGAGAGGAATACTTCTGCTTCCCTTCTGGAAAATTTGGAAAAACTGGTAATATTATTAGACCTTCATATTCTCATGGTGGGTTCAGTAGTGCAGTTGAAATACACTGAGTACAGTTCCTGTTCTGTTACATGGAAACGAGGCTTTGGTTCGTAACCGGAATGTTACAAAAATAAAAGCGTGTGAGTGATTTCTAAAGTATTTAGTTATGTATCTAATTGGGAAAGAGTTTAGAATACATTATTTGTGGGGGAAACTGCACATGTATCGTTAAATGGAAATAGAAGATTCGGTAAATTAGGGAGGAACATAGACTGAGTGTGTTTCAGAACAGGGTGTTGAGGAGAATATTTGGACCGAAGAGGGATGAAGTGATAGGAGGTTGGAGAAAACTGCATAATGAGGAGCTTCATAACTTGTACTCTTCTCCAAGTATAATTAGAATGATCAGGTCAGGGAGGATGAGATGGGCAGAGCATGTAGGACGAATGGGGGAGGAGGAACGAATATAGGATATTGATGGGAAAGCCGGAAGTAAGGAGACCACTGGGAAGACCAAGGCGTAGGTGGATGGGCAATATTAGATTGATCTGGCTCAGGATAAGGATCGGTGGGGGGGCTCTTGTGAACACGGTAATGAACCTTCGGGTTGCATAAAATGCTGGGAAGTTCTTGAGTAGCTGCACAACTGGCGGCTTCTCAAGAAGGGCTCATCTCCCTGAGTGAGTAATGCGTAACTTAACGAATCCGTTCTGCTTATTTATCTCTGAAACGGCAGGCGTTACAGACCAGACGTGTTGCACACAGGATGTGTTTCAGGTCCCCCACACATGCCTCGCTGCAGTAAGTGTTCAGCAGTTGACGCTCAGGGTACGCTCAGAAATGCAATGACCGTTATCGTTGTCCGATTTTACTGTAATTTATTTTCAGCAATCAATGTTCGGGGCACGCAGCAGCGTAGTTGGTTGAGGCACTATGCTACAGAAGATGGCGGGTTCGATTCCCGATGAGGTAATTGGATTTTTCAATTGACCTAATCTTTCCATCTGCACTAAGGCCTTGTGGTCGACTCAGCCTCTAACAGAAATGAGTACCAGGAATCTTCCTCAGCGTAAAGAGCCGCCGGCGCATAAGGCTGACATCCTTGCTGCCATCTGTGAGCCAATTGTCTAGAAAATGTGGGAGCCTTGATTTCTCTCAGCCCTATGGGTTGAGGCGGTCATGTAGGTATAGTATCGGGACGAATTTGATGGCCAAAAGGAATAAGATTGATGGACACGGACGACGCAAATCAAATTTGTCATAGACAACAGATCGTC